GAGAGAGAGAGAGAGAGAGAGAGAGAGAGAGAGAGGAGTGGAGGGGAGGGAGGGAAGGGGAGGGGGAATAAATGGAATAGTATAAATTAAACCGAGATTATACAGTAATTAATCTTACATTGGTGGAATCGAGTTTAAAACGTCTGTAAACATATAAATAAAATTGTACATATTGTATAAATATAAAGAACAAGACACATAAGATTGGAAACAAGACCGTTCAGAAATAATAATTGCATACCGATACGGTTGTCGGACTTTCAACGCAATCAACCTGAAATATTAATAATCCCTCTAAATTTCCCAAATTTAAAAAACTGTAATAAACTTATTGCGAAAAATATTGCCTCGGCCGGAAATTAAACTCGGATCTTTTTGCATTCTGTGCGAGCGTCCTTTATTTTTCGCAATAAGTTTATTATAGTTTTTTAAATTTGGGAAATTTGAGGGGATTATTAATATTTCAGATTGATTGCGTTGAAAGTCCGACAACTATATCGACACGCAATTATCATTTCTGAAATTAATTCATTTATATGAATATATATAGTTCAACATCTTAACATTCAGATCGTAGTGGCGCTTCTTATTTAAACATATAAAGAACAGATTTAATTATTTTATTATAGAATCTATCATAATATTTAATAAATAATGTTAGTAATATAATAACAATATTTTGCAAAGTATAAAACAATATATCAGAAAATGTTACTAATCTAATTACCATGTTTTAAATTAGCATGAGATGTATTAATTACGATCAATGCCGAAAAATATGGAGGAATTCATCTCAAAGAACAAACATACTATTGTGAGAGTTCATACGAAAAATGAAATTATTGCATTGCAAAAAACAGAGAATACGTGCTTGTGTGAATTCTGTCCTTTGATAAATGTCTTTTTTTTTGTATTAAAAGAAGATATTCATGCGAAATTTTCTTGATGTTAGAGTAATATCTTAATAGTTCTTATTGCAAAAAACACTACTAAAATATGAATGAGTTTGTGATCTCACAATGGATATTTTGTATAGTCTCGTTTTATGGCATATTATGGCATTCACACTAAAAATTTACATTATAAGAAAGAATATCAAGGAAAAGTAATCGATGGAAAAGGGGAAGGGATAATCGTACTCGACTGCTTCGTCCAGTCGCATCTCGGACGTTACAGAAAATGGTTCAATTGGTAGGGATTCAGTACTTTAACTTCAATAGAATTCTGTTGCTTGTTATCGGTTTGTGGCCATATGAACAATCTAAATTCACACGATTTCAATTTATTTTCTTTTCTGCTATTCTAACATCGGGTATTATATTTCAGGTAAGAACAGAGTATAGCAATATTGTGTGATAAGATACCGTTTTGCAAATCTGCATTATCAAATAGTTTTTCTTATTATTATGTAATATAAGTGTTATATGAATTTATAAGTGTGTGATTAAAAATACAATTACTGATAGTTGACAACGCTAATGACATCAAAATGTACTTCAAATCTCGTCAGCAAGGTCCTGTCTTCCACATTTTTCTCTATTATGTGCATGATAAAATATAATTCATTCTGTTTTAATATTGAAACTGTAAGTTGACAAGTTACACAATATGCGTTTAACAGCATAATCAGTATTAAATGAATCTTTATTATATATTAAAAAATTTTTATATATTATTATGTACAAAGACAATATATGAAATTATTGAAACAACAGGTAAAGGATTTATTAATGCAACTTGAGCATATATGTAATCAAGTAAAAGATAAAAATGAAGTTGCTATCATAGAAGAATATAATTACAAAGCAAGACGTTACACAATTATGATCACAAGTAAAACAATATTCTCAGATTTATGTTCACAATTATTATTTAATTGTGAACTACGAAGACTTTATAAATTCAGTTTTAAAAAATCATATTAAATAATATTTCTATTTTTATGTACAATATATATCATACAAATTCTACTAAAGTATATATGCATACAATAATTAATGGCATGTTAGTAGACACTTTGAATTATAAAATTTTATATTCTTTTGTTAATATATTTAATTTCTATATTTATATAGAATTACTTTATTATTTATGTAGAAATTGCATAAATAATAGAGTTATTCTAAATAGAAATTGAATATATTATCAAAAGAAAAAAAATTTTATAATGTGTGTGTGTGTGTGTGTGCGCGTGCGTTGTGTGAGCGCTCGCGAGCGCGTACAAATTTTGATATGTTTATATTCCAGGATTTTTAATAAAAACGTTTTCTAATAATTTTTAGTATTTACCATTATTGCTGGATTTGTCTGTACTATTGGTCAGTATTTGTCGAGTAGTTTCATTGTTTTATCGAAAAATATATCTCGTCTGCCTATTATGATGGAGTATTTTATCGACCAAGAAAAATATTTTTATTTAACTTTGTTGCATATCTATACAATTATATGTGTCGAAGCAGCTGCGGTATTAGCAATAGGAACAATGCTTATTACATATTTTCAGTATGTCTGTGGAATGTTTAGAATTGCTGGGTACGAATGAAGATGTAGGAATAACCATAATAATTTATGGAATAAAAAAATTTATCTTTTAATAATATAATATATATATATATATTTAAAATAGTTTATGAAAAGATGAGTTTTTTGCTAAAAAATCGCATCATTCAATAAATTGTTGTACAATTACAGCACAAACATTTACAGCTATCGTATCGAGCATTCAATAAATATCAATATTCAACAAAATATTACGCTGAAAAATAAGATTTTGATGAACGAGGGCATAATTTGTGCAGTTGATATTCACCGACAAGCAATGAAGTTGGTATACACACCTACAATACATAAATAATATGTTTAGTAATATATTTCTATTTTTGAAGATTATCCAAACATTTGCTATCTATATTCGAAGTAATGATGTTTTGTTTAATAATATTTGGCGTGGCTTGCTTAACTCTAAATCTGTTTCGAGTAAGTTTTTTGCTTCTTACTATTGTAATGTATGAAAATGCATGCAAATGCTGCTCTGAAATTATGTATATTAACAATACTGGCCGGTAAGTAGATAAGCCAGAATTATAAATCCCCAATAACAATTTTTATATAAATAAAAAGTAAATGTAATATCGTGGGAATAAACATAATAATCAGAAAAGATGCATTAGATTTTAAAAAAATTCAGTAATGTTAAAGATACATAATATTAACATAAATTTACTAATACTTTTAGAACTTAACGAACTGCTGATCTACATATTTTTATACTATCTTCATATTTATATTCTAAGAAAGACACACTCTTTTATTTCCTTTTGATTAATATATACTATACTGGAAAGCATTTTTTCGATGCTATATAAATTCATCATTATTCTTAGATTAATATAGCAAAAATATATTGTGTATATATATGTATATATATATATATATATATATATATATATATACATACATGTACACACATATGTAGAAGATTTATATTCTTTAAATTTGTATCTTAGATATTTCAGATTGCTTCATCTGAAAATACTATTAACGAATTTTGTTTACCGTTGATATATGTGGTTACCAGTATTTTATATATGTTTCTATCCAATTACATCGGACAAAATATAATAGATCACAATAATTACGTGTTCCTTACTGCGTAAGAAATATGCTGAGTATACGAATATTTGCACAGAAAGAATGATTTTGCTAAAACTCAAATAGCCAAATGCAGTGAGTTTGCTGTCATGTTATTGATATACTTATTGAAGCGACAAATTTTGATAAAGTCGGGAGAAGGTGATCGAGACAGTATTAGATATGTTTGTTATAATTATTAGTGTTGTCAATTTGTCATTTGTAATTCACAGCAAAAGTATTCTTCCTATGTGCATTTTAAAAATTATTAAATCAAATGTAAAAATTAATGCAATTATAGAACACATTAGCACAGCTGAAAATAACTTAAAGAAAATTTCTTATATTAATTAGCTATTTGTTATTTATGTACAATTTCATAGGTACAATGTTCAGTGGTATAAAGCTCCGTCACATATACAAAGAATGATACTGTTTCTATTACAAAGAGAAGCTAAGGAATTTATTTTGAATGTCGGTGGATTATTTAATGCATCTATGGAATGTTTCGCTACGGTAATATAATACCAACAACAATCTATATGTACTATATTACAAATAAATATTAAAGTAAAAAAAGGTGTCTTTAATTGCAGTTAGTAAAGACTTCAGTATCTTATTTTACTGTCATATATTCCACGCGATGACAAAACATGAATTTAATAACAAAATGATAAGAATAATTAATGAAAAAATATGAATAAAAAAATGACATTATTTTATGAGCATGTAATTATCTAGAGATTTTGTTAAGAAAAAAATGTAGAGAATTAAAATGTTCAAATAAAGATGTTAATATACCATATTGTCGCAATGTGTTCAAACTAAGTATTGTATGTATTATATTTCAAACAATCACATAGTTTCAATTATTGTACATTGAATTTAAGTAATTTTATATTTGCAATTTATTGTTGAACATTTTTCCTAAACAATATAATAATTAAAATATTTAGATATTTGGAACCTTTGTCAATTAATAAGGAATGTAAAAAGGCAAGCGTATAGTAAACAATATTTTTAATTAGACAGTTTAATACATCAAGTTGTTAATAATATTAATCACTGATTGCAGAGTGATATTTATAAGTATATACCTGTCGTGAATTTCATTCGATTATTTTGTAATTATAAACTTTATTAGACAGATCTGACATCAAAAGAATTCAAACTAAGAGATAACCCCTCGAAAACTAAATGTGACTTACATGAGAGAATTAGAACAAAGTTTTGAAATTAAAAAGAAGAAAACGCTTATGTAACCTTTCTAAAATTTTTCTATAGTTTAATTTCATGACAAAGATACATCTCTGCTGTGATAAATCAATCGCATAAAAATCATATTATAAAGAGTAATGATACGTACGTACATTATTCAGAAATTTGCTAATTCCAATTCCGATTTCATAGCGAACTGTACATCTGGATATTCTTGTCAACTAGAAAATTATGTAAAAGAAAGACATTAGAAAATATTTAATCGAAAAAATTAACTTTAATAATTAAAGTGCAACAAATTAATTACAGTCACGAGATTCGTATTTTTTTAGATTTTTCAGATTATATTGACGTAGAAAACTATTAAAGAAAAAAAATGAATGGAATTATTATTATCCAATAACAATACCTATCAAAAGGTTGACAAGGATTCTATCAAAACTCATTGCGGAAATAGTTGTCTTCTGGTAAAATGGGAAAACAATAAATTTATAAAGGAACCCATTTACAAGAGACTACTAACAACAGATGGAATCAACTCCCCGATATACATGGTGCATCAAAAATTTACAAAATTAACACTTAAGAATAAGTTTCTAATTTCTTCAATCAATAATCCGTTACACTATCTATTTATTTACATAACAACATTAACAACAGCATATCTAAAATACACAGCCACGTAAAAAATTCCAATTAGTTAATAAGTTGAAAGGAATTTATTTCGAACCTAATCTAAAACTAATATCATTTTTTAAATTTTAAATTCAAAGTTCTTCACTTTCAATAAAAAATTTTACAAACAGATTTTTGGTACGCCTATGGAGGCACCATTGTCACCGAATATAGCCAATATTATTTTGAAAGACTTGGAGGAGATTGCAATTCGGCGGTTACCTTGTTTCTGAGGAATATTTAGATAATATTTTAAACGTATTCAATTCATGACCGACTACAGTTCAGAATTAAAGTGAGTGATGGTGATAGAAGTTATCTGGATGTAGACATCAATGTAAATAATAATAATATTGTTTTCGACTGCTACAAAAAACCAATCTTCTCAGAAAGATTTCTGAATTTCAACTCCCATCCAATTTTTGATGTGTCACAAGAGAAGTGTGACATTTGGTATGATTGACAGAATAATGTTATTATTTCATTCGATGCATCACCAAAAAAATATTACAGAATCGGTGTACATTTTATTAATTATTTTTTAAATAAGGGGTATCCATTAAAGTTCATTCGACTATTCTGTTCGACTATTAATACGAGGGTTAAATTTCACCAGAACAAATCTTTCAATCATAATCAACAACATTTAAAACAATTAAATAATGAATGACATTTCATTGCATATGAAAATCATCTTCGAGTCAGTCTTGCCGATTGCTTTGGGCCTACATAAAAAAATGCATTTATCCAATACGTTAAAAAAATGTCACTACAGGGAAAGATTTATGGGTTACTTATGTCGCAACAACAAATGATTTATAAGATATCATGCCATAATTGTAATGTGATATGTGTAAGCCAATGAAATGTCAATTAAAAACTAAAACATTCGAATACGTAAGCGACATTAATAAAAAAAAAAGGTTCATCTCAATAATTTCGAACCATAGGTTGACTCTCGATTATAATTTTAAATGGAATGAAATTAAAATTCTTGACAATGAGCCGTCATGTAATAAAAGATTGATTTCGGAAATGGTACACATTAAGAAGAATTAAATGATTTAAATAAGCAAAATGACAGAATCCTTGCCTAATTTCTACTTTCCTATCTTACAAGCATTATCCCCTTCTTAATTTTTTCTCTTCCATTTTTTTCTTCCCACCTCACATTTGGTTATCAGGACCATTTATTAATCATTAGAGTGCTTTGCCACGGTAATAGCATGTAGTATTTTCTTGAATATACTGTATTATATTAAAAATAAATGCAATAATATGATTGCAATTGGTAAAAACTTCGGTATCTTATTTTACCATCATGTTATCCACACAATGATAAGACAAATATGAATTAAATAAAAACATAAGAAAATATATATTCGAAGAAGATAAAATAGCATTTCTCACATTAAAAAAAAAGAAAATTTCATTTTTTACTACATATACATATATTTATACTTAAAATTTTATTATTAATATATTTATAAATTAAAAAAATACGTAATCAAAAATATTCATCAACATAAAATTATATCTCGATTCAATTCACTCACTTTATCGTTTCCCAATATGAAGTAGAGAAAAAGATAAACAGTAAATTAAATCGAGATTATAAAATTAATCTTATATTGGTGGAACCGGATCTAAAATGTCTGTAAACATATTATGAATAACTGAATAAACATAAACAACAGATTTATTATATTATTATATTGTACAATTTATTATTATAACATTTAATATTAATGTATTATAATATTTAATATTTAATTTAATAATATTATAATAATATTTTACAAAATATTATATCGAAAAATGTTGGTGTAATTACTAGTGTTTTAAATTGACATGAGATGTATTAATTATGATAAATGCAGAAAAAAATATAGAGGATATTCATTTCAAAGATCGAACGTATCATATGAGAGATCATACAAAAATGAAGTTAATGCATCAAAAAATAGAGGATACATACTTGCATAACTTCTGATAAACCTTTGATAAATGTCTTTCGTTTTTTTTTTGTCAATTAGCGATTCGTTATCTATGTACAACAACACATAATATATTTTCACAAGTACAATGTTCAGTGGTATAGAGCTCCGTCACGTATACAAAGAATGATACTGTTTCTATTACAAAGAGAAACTAAGCGTTTACTCTAAATTTAGGTAGAGTATTTAATGCATCTATGGAAAGTTTCGCTGCGGTAATATAATATCAACAATAATCTATAGTATATAACTTATAATCATATTACAAATAAATATGTAAAAAGAAATATTTTAATTGCAGTTAGTAAAGACTATCTTATTTTACTGTCTATATATTCTACGTTGTGAAAATAAATATGAAGTTAATAATAGAATGATAAAAACATATCTAATAAAAAAAATGAGAGTACTCATATTTAAAAAAAATGGTTTTATTTTAGATTATTTTATATTATTTTTTGAGCATAGCTTAGCTATAAATAAGATTTAGTTAAGAAAAATATAATAAATTAAAATTGTCCAGATATGTTAATACATTAAATCGTCGTAATGTATTCAAATTAAGTATTCTATGTTTATACTTAAAAAATCACATAATTTCAGTTATTATAGATATTGCTTTTAAGTAATTTTTTACCTGAAATTTACTGTCGGCACGTTGAACATTTTTCTCCTAAATAATATAATAATTAAAATATTTAGATATTTGAAATTTTCGTCAGTCAATAACATAAAAAATGTAAAAAGATTAGCATATAGTCACTAATAAACAATATTTCTAACTATGTAGTTAATATATCAAACTATTAAAAACATTAATCACGCTGATTGCTAATTGATATTTAACAGTATGTCATTAATTTAATGCAATTATTCTGAAATTATAAACTTTACCAGGCAGATCTGATATCAAAAAGTTAAAATTAAAAGCTATTCCGAAGATCAAATGTGACTTATGAGTGTGCATAGAAGGAAGTTACAAAAGTGAAAAAAGGGAGAATGCGCCTAATTTTTCTGAAGCTTTTCAATAGCTTAATTTCATGAAATAGATTCATCCGCTGTATTATTTTATGCGACAAATCGATTCCGTATAAATAATGTTATAAAGAATAATAGTACACAGACCATTCAGACATTTTTTGAATCCAATTCTAATATTATAGCGGACTGCACATCTGGGCATTATAGCCAATTAATAAATTTGCATTAAAATTTATGTAAAAAAAACGTTATGAAATATTTAAAGAAATTGAAGTTAACAATTAAATGTAACAAATTAACTACAGTCGTGAGATTTGTATTTCAGACTTTTCAGATTTTTTATATTGATAGAAAAAGCCACTAAAGAAGTTTTATTGCCTGTGCTATTTGCAACTGTTTTCATTCTACATCTGTTCATATCTGTCCAATTCTCTTGGACAAAATATGACAGATCATAACAAATACAGTATTTTCTCTCATAAAGGACAATAAAAAGAAGTTTCATCACTTTACAAATTTTCAAACTAAAACAAATATTTAATGTCGTTAGTATTGTATGATTATGTAAAATATTGAAAATTATTTGTAAATTTTCTTACTTTTCTCTCAAATTAACGATTTTTGTCTTAATAATTTATGTATAGAGTTGTATGGTATGCAAATTCTTGTACATCCAGAGAATAATATTCTTCCTATTGATAAAAGGCGTCAAAAATTTCAATTTGAATGTCGGTGGCTGTTTATTCATCATTAGAGTCACGGTAAGATCATACAGTGTTTTTTTTCTTGAATATACCGTAACATATTAAAAGTAAACACAATAATATGTTTGCAGTTGGTAAAAGCTTCAGTATTCTATTTTACTATCGTATTATCTGCATAGTGAGAAGAGAAATACGAATCAAATATGAGCATAAGAAGGTATATGTTTGATAGAAATAAAACAGCATTTCTCACATTTAAAAAAAAATGAAAAATCTATCTTTTTATGTATATATCTTTGCTTAAATTATTTTATTATTAAAAATGCGAAATCAAAAGTATTCATCAACAAAATTAAATCATGGTTCAATTTAGTCTTTATCTTTTTCTAATTTGAAGTATTAGATAAAGATAAATACTAAGTTAAACTTAGATTATAATTAATTTTACATTGATGAAATCGAAACTAAAACGTCTGTAAACATATATTAAAACTGTACATATTGTAAAAATAAAAACAACAGATTTAATTAATTTATTGTAAAATCTATTAAATATTTATTTATATAATAATATTCAATAGATGTTAATATTATAGCAATATTTTGCAAAATATAAATATTACATTGGAAAATGTTATATTGATTTAATTACCATATTTTAAATTGATATGAGATATATTAATTAGGATTAATGCCGAAGAAAGGATATATAGAGGATTCATCTCAAAGACCAAATGTCATATTATGTGAGAGTTCATAGAAAAATGAAGTTAATGTACCAAAAAAAAAAGATATGCGCTTGCGTGACTTCTTTCTTTGATAAATGTACATCTTTTCTCTTTTTTTTATTAAAAGAAGATATTT